TCAGCATATATCTTAATTCTTCCTGTTGAACAAGCAGTTCAACATATTGGGTAATAATTAGACAAATCAAAATATATAATTGTTCAAATTTTGGCTGTACATTTTGTATAAAGAGGAAATTAATTATCTTTAAAACAAATTAGATTGAACTGGTATCCCCACTTAAAACATAAACTATTGATCTATCTTTGTTCTAATTATCATGCAATACATGTTGAATTCGGTAATTATGTTATATTAATGGATTGAAGAATTGTCATTACTGCAAAATCTATTTTATCTAAACTACACTTACACACGGTATTACCAAATAGAACATATCTGATTAAATCAAATGGCCTTTGAAAATGTGCAAATGTATTTGAAATGATCATATAAATCATTGCTTTTGTCGGGATAAAGGTAAGTATGCTAGATATACGAACTGGAACTGTGACGGAATTTTTAAAGCTGTAAATTACAGTTAAAGGAGTAGGTTCACGATTGGTCAATTTATAGAGACACCCCCTCCCCACCCACACCTTACAGAAAAAAAACTGTTGCTTTTGCAAAGATTTATCAGTATACCCTTCTTTTTGCTTGAACCAACGGAACATGCAAGTTAAATTTGAAGCTTCTGTGGAAGTGATAAGCGATGGTAACATTAAATGTACCTTTTTTTTATGATTTTCGTTGTTCTGCAAATATCCTTTTTGTTTGAAGGTACAGAAACATCTGTACCTGTTAAGGTTAAACTCAAAAACTAACTTTTCATATATAAATATGCCAGCTGTCAAAGATTGTAGTGAGTAGCATAAGACTGAATTGCAAAACTCAACTTTTGGATCAGTGCACACAATGTAGAAAATGAACAAAAACCTACAATAAAAAAATAGGCTTTGATGTGTCAGAAAGCCCGAAACATGTTTTTTAAATGGACTTAGTGGGCAATCATATTTTTTCAAGTCAAGTTCTATTGATGTGCAAGAACTCTCACCCCTTTCTATTTAAAAGTGCTTGAATATTGTTGCTTAATTATCAAACTTATCCAAAGTTGCCTGAAACCAAATCATTCTTCATGCATATGTTTTCAGTATCAAAGCATTGTAGGTGCTGTGAGCCAAAAAAAATAAACTGTTGACACAGAGATATGTCTCGCCTGTCGGCATAAAATTCAGAAAAAGACAATCTGATGGACAGCACTGTGACATTTCTCATTAATTCAGTCGCAGGACAAACTAGTGGGTAGGGCCTCGAAATGGTTGACAAACTGAGATGTACAAACAGCAATGTAACTTTATAGAAAATATTGTCTATTGTAAGTAATTCCTATCAAACTAACTTCACTTTATACATATGAGGCTGACTTCATACAGGAACTTCTTAGGAAGAAAGAAAAAAAGTTAGCAGTATCCTTTAACTTTACTTTCCGCTACATAGATGATGTTCTCTCGTTAAATAGTTCAAAATTTGGTGACTATGTTGAACGCTTCTATCCCATCGAACTTGAGATAAAGGATACAACAGACACAGTTATGTCTGCCTCATATCTTGACTTCACTCTAAAAATTGACAATGAGGGTCGGTTGAAAACAAAAAGTTATGACAAAAGAGATGATTTCAGCTTCCCAATTGTAAACTTTTCATTTTTATGTAGTAACATTCCAGCAGCGCCTGCATACGGAGTATATATCTCCCAGTTGAAACGATACTCGAGGGCTTCTATTTCGGATTTTCCCATCATGATTTCCTTGATAGAGGATTGCTGGTCACAAGGAAGCTATTAAACCAAGAGTTCCAAGTGGTGAAGTTAAAATCATCCCTTCGTAAATTTTACGGACGCCATCACGAGTTGGTTGACCGTTACGGAATATCCGTTTCACAGAAGATAGCGGATATGTTCCTAATGTCGTAACTACAATCCCATCCCCTTTCCCGAATGTGACCTACCAAATTAGACTTATTACCAGGTTTGTACTAACATGAGCAATACGACAGGTGCCACATGTGGAGCAGGATCTGCTTACCCTTCCGGAGCACCTGAGATTACCCCCAGTTTTTGGTGGGGTTCGTGTTGCTCAGTCTTCAGTTTTCTATGTTGTGTTTTGTGTACTATTGTTTGCCTGTGTGTCTTTTTCTTTTTTAGCCATGGTGTTGTCAGTTTATTTTCGACTTGTGAGTTTGAATGTCCCTTTGGTATCTTTCGCCCCTCTTTTAATAATAAAACTTAACATAGAAAATTATCAACTGATTGAAAGTCAATGGACCATAACCTCGGGGGGCAGGGCCTTAAAATAGTCGTAAAACTGATATGTACTGACAGTAATGCATTTTTATAGAAAATATCATTGAACTATCACTAGTAGTTCCTATCAATTTAACTTAAGCAGAAAACTTAACATTTAAAATGGCTAATTAATTCAAAGTCACTGGACCATGGCCTAGGGGCAGGGCCTCAAAATAGTCGTCAAACTGATATGTGCTGATAGTAATGCAACTTCATACAAAATATCATTGATCTATCATAAGTACTTCCTATCAAACTAACTTAAGCAGAAAACTTAACAATTGTTGACGTCGTCATCGCCGTCTCCATAAAAGCAATCCCTACGTCTAGCTTTCCAGAATTTCGTCGCAGGCGAGACAAAAATTAAGAAAGCTATTTTAAAAACACCTGCCTTTTGTGAAACAGCTCCTGGTGTATTTGGCTTAAACTTCATAGTATTGACTGTCATATGGTGTCATCTAATAGAAAATGTGTCAAAACACAAATTATTCATTTTGGGACAAAAACACTTTTCCAGTCAACATGCAGCTTTGAATGCAATACAGCAGTTTGAACAGTAAAAAGGGCTTACATTAAAAGCAAGATAAAATAAATGTCAAATTATTATTCTAGCTCAGTTGGTTTTTATTAGCAAAGAGGTTTTAGAGGAGGTGATATGAAAATAGCTCACTTTGAGACAGGTGAGCTAACAATAAAACAATACTTAATTTTATAAAGAAATAATACATTCTATTTTGAAAATAGCCATTGTACTGCCAAGTAGATTTCATATAAAAACTTCATACACAGAACAGAAAAACAAAATCTGAAGCAATGCTTAAGGTACATTTGTATATGCATTTCATTACAGAAAATAAAATAAACTAGAGATACTGTGAGCAAAGCTCGTGAAATGATGCCACAGCCCCCACATAAAACAATGGCAATGTTAATGATATGCTTAACTAGTTCCAAATAAATGGGGAATGTGTCCATGGGACACAGATGATGCCCCCGCTTGCATATAACCTTATAAAGGGACATAACTCACGAATGGTAAAAGTGACGCTACCAAAAATTAGACTTGATCTGAGTTTTGTGGTAATAAGCATTGTGTACAAGTTTAATAACATTTGGTTGAGGCTAACTTAAGTTAGAGAATGGAAACCAAAAATTCAGCAATTTTTCCATTTGTAAAGGGGCATAACTCCATAACGTTAAAAGTGACGCCACCAAATTTCAAATTTGATCTGTGTTTTGTGGTAATAAGCATTGTGTATAAGATTCATAACATTTGGTTGGGGCAAACTTGTTAGAGAATGGAAATGAAAAATTCAGCAATTTTTCCATTTGTACAGGGGTGTAACTCTAGAAAGATAAAAATTCAAACTTGATCTGTGATTTGTGGTAATGAGCATTGTGCATACCTGCAAGTTTCATAACATTTGGTTGAGGCTAACTAAAGTTAGAGAACAGAAACCAATTTCGGGACGTACTGACAGACAGACGTACAAGGGTAAAACTTAATGCATAAAAAATAACGTATATAAAATACAAAATAGGGGTGCACAATGGCATTACAGGAGAAGATTTTGAGTAAGTTTCCATAAATTTTGATTTGATTTTTTTGATTTTTGGTGTTTAAACGCCACTTTTAAGCACCGCTTTTGGGCTATTTCGTGGCGGCCAGTTTTTATTGGCGGAGGAAGCCTGAGTGCCCAGAGAAAACCACGACCTTCGATAGGAAAACTGACAATCCTAGTTAATTAAGATTGGAGTCGAGTGCACCCGCACGAGCGGGGTTCGAACTCACAACCTCAGTGATGACTGGCTAGTGATTACAGTAGTAACTACTTAGACCACTAGGCCACCGAGGCCCCCATAAATTTTGATAAGGGTTTTAGGACTTACTGATACAAATTGGGTAGCCCAAGAGAAAGCAATGGCAAAATCCATGATTTGAGATTGAAGAGAAATCCCCAAAAGTATCAAAAAACAAACTAGCAGGTGCACAATGGCATAATATGTAGATGATTCTGAGAAATTTCATCATAATTAGGGGTTAAGGAGAAGGGGACACAATGGTGTACTGAAGTGTGTAGATATGAAATATTCCATGTCATGCCAAAGCAAAGCCCCAAAATCATTCAGATGGAGAAATGAAATAGGAGAGGTATAACAACATCAGCGGAGTATAAAGAATATCTGAAAGCTTAAAAACAATCTCTCAAGTAGTTTAAGGACAATTGCAGATGAAAAAGTCGTACAAAGCATGGACAAACAAATGAGCAGACTCCTACATCACTATACACTGCTTGCTTCGGAAAGCTGGGGGTATAATGAAAATCAATACAAGTTCCAATTTATATAAGATGCAAGAGAGGATAGTGATGGGAACCTTCAAAGAGGGCCTTGCTGCATGTAAATACCTTTTTTTTTTTTATTGAAATAATGGTTATTCCACATACAACAATTTGCTCATGTGTGTCCAATTTTAACTTTTTTTTTTAACCATGATCATCAATGTTCCATTTTCTTCCATTTAAAGTAAAGTAATGGTGAATTATCATGACAATTTTCATCCTTGAACTTGGTTTTAAAGTTAGAGAGCATAATCAATTTTTTAACATATGCCTAGTGGTGGCTAAGTGGAACAGAGTTTTTTTAACCATACTTTCAATGTATGGTCTTCTTCGTTTTACTTAATACACCTTCTAGTACGGATTAATAATCAAAATAATTTTTAAAAAATACAATGTTTTAAGAAACAATTTATTTGAAATTAAACAAAAATTAACAAAAACAACCTCAGAAACATTTTTACAAAATGTTCTCAAAAACATATTTTATAAAGAAAAAACTTCTTAGCAATAACATATTTACATTTGTAGTGTGATGTAATCATGTAACTACATATAATATTGTGTTCTATATAGAGAGTGGAATATGAACATTATAAAGCTATTATCAACTGAACTTATCTAATATTTCAACATTTCACAAAGGCAGAGTTTGAAAAATCAAGACAAACAGGGAATCTAAAATCTAAAAATTACGTGATTTCACAGTACACAAGTCTAAATAACATGCTCCGCTGGGCGCAGCTTGATACGACCGCAGAGGTCGAACCCTGAACAGTTGGGGCAAGTATGGACACAACATTCAAGCTTGATACAGCACTGAATTTGGATTGTGATTAAATATTTGACACAGCACAGGTTTCTGACACAGAATGAATGTGGTCTAAGAACTTAAAATTTTTTAATTTACCTATTCAAACCATATCATTATATTTGCTTTTATATATAAATCAGAAATAACCAATTTAAAATGGAAAATTTTAAAGAAAAAAATATCCCCCCCCCCAATTTTTTGAACCCCCTTATGATTCATCACCCCCAAACTCAATCCCAGCCTTCCCTTTGTGGTATGGTACCTGCAGTACAATTTCAGAGAGATCCATACACTTGAACACAAGTTATTGTCTGGAAACTAGAAAAATGCTTGTTTTTGGCCCCAAATTCCTAAACATTTAGGGCAACTACCCCCAAACTCAAACCCAGCTTTCCCTTTGTGATATGGAACCTTGTAGTACAATTTCATAAAGATCCATACACTTACAAGTTATTGTCCTGACACTAGAAAAATGCTTGTTTTTTGCCCCCAATTCCTAAAATTTTGAAGCAATTACCCCCAAAATCAATCCCAGCCTTCCCTTTGTGGTATGGTACCTTGCAGTACAATTTCAGAGAGATCCATACACTTGAACACAAGTTATTGTCTGGAAACTAGAAAAATGCTTATTTTTGGCCCCTTTTTCCTAAACTTTTTGGGCAATTACCCCCAAACTCAATTCCAGCTTTCCATTTGTGATATGGAACCTTGTAGTATAATTTCAGAAAGATCCATACACTTACACACAAGTTATTGTCCTGAAACTAGAAAAATGCTTGTTTTTTGCTCCTTTTTTTGGCCCCTTATTCCTAATATTTTGAGGCAATTACCCCCAAAATCAATCCCAGCATTCCCCGTGTGATATGGAACCTTGTGGTACAATGTCAGAGAGATCCATACACTAACACACAAGTTATGTCTGGAAGTTACAAAAATGCTTATTTTTGGCCCCTTATTCCTTAACTATTGGTACCATAATCCCCAAAATCAATCCCAACCTTCCTTTTGTGGTATTGAACCTTATGGTAAAATTTCATAGAGATCCATTCACTTCAACTAAAGTTAGAGTACGAAAACCAATGTGTCTTCGGACGACGACGCCAACGTCATACCAATATACAACCGCAAAATAAAAAGGGTACTGACTGGTTTTCATATGCTCATGGCTATTACCTTTTTAAAATGAAATGACCATAGGTAAACAAAAATTGTATTACTTATTATCACATGGCTTAGGGTTAAAAATTGATGGAATTATCTGATATAAAATGGCTAAATTAAAAAAAAAATTAGTGATTACCTGATTCCAGGGATATAATTTAGAGGTCAAAGACAGCCTAACTCAAATTAAGTCAAAATAGTATGTGTTATTACAAAGCAAGACTTATTTAAATATCCAAAATAGTAATACAAGGTTAGAACCCCCAAAATTAAAGACTTAATTTAATCCCATTGAAATTGGTTAAAAGATTTGTATTTATTTTCAATTGAAGATTTCTTGCTATTGTGCAATACTGGTGTGTATCTCCTGCCATATCAGTATTTGTTGCTTTTATATATAAATCAGAAAAAATGAAAAATTTAGAGAAAAAAATTTTTTTTTTGAAAATTTGAAGATTATTTTCTTTTCAGGAAAAATGTATAATTTCAGAGAGTGCAATAAACTTTAACACAAGTTATTGTCTGGAAACTAGAAAAATGCTTGTTTTTGGCCACTTTTTTGCCCCTAATTTCTAAACGTTTGGCAGTTAACCCCAAACTCAATCCCAGCCTTCCCTTTGTGGTATGGAACCTTGTAGTACAATTTCAGAGAGATCCATACTCTTAAACAAAAGTTATTGTCTGGAAACTAGAAAAATGCTTGTTTTTGGCCCTAATTTCCAAATGTTTAAGGCAATTACCCCCAAACTCAATCCCAGCCTTCCCTTTGTGGTATGGAACCTTGTAGTACAATTTCAGAGAGATCCATACACTTAAACAAAAGTCATTGTCTGGAAACTAGAAAAATGCGTGTTTTTGGCCCCTTTTTGCCCCTAATTCCTGAACATTTAGGGCAATTACCCCCAAAATCAATCCCAACCTTCCTTTTGTGGTATTGAACCTTCTGGTAAAATTTCACAGAGATCCATTCACTTAAACTAAAGTTATCGTCCGGAAACCAAATGTGTCTTTGGACGACGACATGATAGCATTATATGAACGCAAATTTTTTACAGTTGTATAAAAAGTCAACATTGAGAACGTCTGAAGCTGTCAGACTGAATTGAATATTTAATTAAGATGAGCTTGTTCATCCTATATGCTGGTAAAAAACTAAGTAGGCTTGATAAAATTTTTCCCAGTAGCAGTACATTAGATGTAAGACAATCTTATTAAGTTTGCCCTTTTCAAATTACCATTGATTTTTTCTAAAGAACTACACTTCATCAGTAACTGTCCTGTCTGACACAAAATTGCAGTTTAATTAATAAAACTAATTAATCAATCAAAGCAAGTTTCCTAGTAGCTTACAGTTATATATATACATCCATATTCATAAAGGGTACTTAAATAGTCAATTCTCTGCTGAAGTAATCTACATTTATATAATGCCAATAAATATGAATGTATTAAATTATTTTGTAAATTTCTGATGATTTCTACTTTAATACCATTTATTCAAAAAAAGCTTTTTTACCCTAAAATATATTTTTTTTCCTTTTCTATACATGTGACAACCTTATGAGACCATAACAAAAGATTAGTACTTTTCATTGGTAATTTAATTCACAGCAGAATTGTAAATGTTAAGTGGAGATATATACTAAAGATTCACTTGTCTCCACAAGGCTTTTAATATAATAAGTATATTTTCATTGATTCCATAATACAATATAGGTGCACAATAAATGAACATTTTCAGTAAACATAAAATTCATTTGCACAAGATTTTAGAAGCAGATGGAAAGGCAAGGCTGGCCAAGCTTTTCTCTTGTTTTGTAGCAATCATCCAACAATATACATATATTATTTTTATCCTGGCACTTTAATGTTTTTAATTCCAAATTGTTTTCTTAGGTTTTATACAGAAATCAACATGGTTAAACACAAACTGCAGAGAGGACCCAAAATTGAACAGTAATGTTAAAACTGCAATTCGCTCAAGGCTAAAGCAAGATAACAAAACACTTTATAACTAGAGGCTCTCAAGAGCCTGTGTCGCTCACCTGTATTTACTGATGCTTTGGAAATCATGAATAAACTGCTTCGCTGAGCGCAGCTGGATACGCCCGCAGAGGTCCAACCCTGAACAGTTGGGGCAAAAATGGACACAATATTCAAGCTTGATACAGGTCTGAATTAGGATTGTATCAAATATTTGACATATTATAGGTTTCTGAATAAATGTAGTCAAAGAACTTGAAATTGGTTATATGAATTGAATTGAAATTATATTCAATTAAAGATTTCTTGCTGTTGTGCAATACACTGTTGCGCAATACTTAGTAAATCTGTTGTCAGACTATAAACAATTAAAGTTCACAATTAATTCTCAATGTCATATTAGAAATTTATGAAAATGTAAAGGGAGCTTACATCAAAAGATATAAACAATTCACCAAAGTTTCATGAGAATTGCTGACAGCATTTTTGAGTTATTGTCCAAAACGGGAAAATCCCCCCTTTTTTAATGAATAAAACCCCATAACTCAGAAATGTAAAATGTAAAATTTATAAAATTCTAAAAGGAGCTTACCTCAATAGATATAAACAATTCACCAAAGTTTCATAAGAACTGCTGAAAGCAATTTTGATTTTTTGTCTGAAAACTGGAAAATCCCCCTTTTTTTATGAATAAAACCCTGTAACTCGAAAACGTAAAATCTAAAATATATAAAAATCGAAAGGGAGCTCATGTCAATAGTTATAAACAATTCACCACAATTTCTTGCAAGTTGGTGAAAGCATTCTTGAGTTATTGTCTGAAAACTGGAAAATCTCCCTTTTTTTAATAAATAAAACCCCATAACTCGGAAACGTAAAATCTAAAATTTATAAAAAACGAAAGGGAGCTCACGTCAATAGATATAAACAATTCACCAAAGTTTTATGCAAATTGGTTAAAGCGTTTTTGAGTTAATGTCCGACATGTTGACGACGGACGGACAGACGGACGGACGGACAGACGGACGGACGGACGGACAGACGGACAGAGGTATACCATAATACGTCCCGTAAACGGGCGTATAAAAATAAGGTTAAAATCATAATTAATAGTATTAGATATTAGATATTATAATGATATCTAAGATAATAACAAAAAACTGCAAAATTTTTGTAAAATTACTAACTCAGAGGGCAGCAACCCAACAACGGGTTGTCTGATTCGTCTGAAAATGTCAGGGCAGATAAATCTAAATCTGATGAACATTTTTGCCACCTGTCAGATTTGCTCTAAATGCTTTAGTTTCAGAGATATAAACCAAAAACTGCATTTTACCCCTATGTTCTATTTTTAACCAAGTCGGCCATGATGGTTGGAAGGCGGGGTCATCGGACAAATATTTGTAACTAGATACCCTAATAATGATTATGGCCAAGTATGGTTAAATTTGTCTCAGTAGTTTCAGAGAAGAAGATTTTTGTAAAAGATTACAAAAATTTACAAAAAATTGTTAAAAATTGACTATTAAGGGCAATAACTCCTAAAGGGGTCGTCTGACAATTTTTGTTATGACAACTTATTTGTAGATCTTACTTTGCTGAACATTATTGCTGTTTACAGTTTATCTCTATCTATAATAATATTCAAGATAATAACCAAAAACTGCAAAATTTCCTTAAAATTACCAATTCAGGGGCAGCAACCCAACAACAGGTTGTCAGATTTGTCTGAAAATTTCAGGGCAGATAGATCTTGACCTGATAATCAGTTTTACCCTATGTCAGATTTACTCTAAATGCTTTGGTTTCAGAGATATAAGCCAAAATCTACATTTTACCCCTATGTTCTATTTTTAGCCATGGCGGCCATCTTGGTTGGTTGGCGGGGTCATCGGACACATTTTTTAAACTAGATACCCTAATGATGATTGTGGCCAAGTTTGGTTAAATTTAGCCCAGTGGTTTCAGAGGAGAAGATTTTTGTAAAAAGCTAACGACGACGGACGCCAAGTAATGAGAAAAGCCTTTGGGCCAGGTGAGCTAAAAAGAAACAAAAACATATTTTCTGCCATTTGCACAATAGTTGGCTGATTGCAGTATAAATCAATTTACCAAGATTTTATTGACTACCTGAATAGACAGGACCTCAGATCAAAATATGATTCATAAAATGAATAAAACACTGGAAACATTATTCAAATACTGATTTTTCAAACAGTCTTACAATTAGAAGTTTGCAACTCATCCAACAAAGGTATTATATTGACCTGCTACAGTATTTACAAAGGTACATATTTGAGCAAACTTTAAATGAAATTTAAAAAAATATTTCCTCTTTTCCCCAACTTCCCATATACTTTCTTACAAACCACATCAGTATGAAATCAGAATATCGGAGCTAAAAAATATAATTATTACATGTATTTCTTTATATTTCTTAACCAACAAAATAAAATTTTGAACAAATTTTAATTACTATACAAAGGGTTGCAAACAATCTTATATAAGAATATTGGTATTTTATAGGCTGTTGCTTTGAATAATAAAATCTGGTTGTATAATGATATAGAGTATTTTCCAAGTGGTCAACCTAATGCTGTGAAGGTGCAATGATACTACTTGAGACAGAGTGGTCCTAATATGTGATAAAGTCCACAATTTGGTTTGTGTAAGTATTACTTTCTTTAAATTTGATTCCTCTTTATTGAAACTGAAAAATACCCAACCCCTTAAAAAGAAAGTTTGATCAGCTTTCTTGTAGTAAAAACATAAGTAGGAGGTCAAGGAAGGAAAATTCACATTATTAAATTTTGAATTGTGGGTTGTGACTTAAGGATGTTCACTCCTCTTGTTTTTGAATTTTTGCCAGATATTCGGAATCCTCTGGTTTTATCCATGTAGTGCCATTAAAACTTTTTGCCCACTAACCCCTACTTTTCTTTTCATTATTTGATTAAATATAGTTTAAAATGCCATCTTTGAAAATCTTATTAAATCCTTGTTATTTTTACATACTTTTAGACAGAAAAAAGGTGCCAATGTTAAAAGTATGAAAAATCTAGAGAGATTCATTTCCCGCCAAATTTTCAATGGCTTATATATCGAAAATAAGCACACGGACCCTTCATTTTTATCTGCTTTCTTAGTTCCTTTATTTATATACTATCAATTTATAACAGTCTTTTTTAAAGCTTGTTATTTTGAAACAGAGTAGCGAACATCCTTAATAAAAGATTCAAGCTACACAATAAAACCTGTTTACTTGTTTGCTACAATAATCACCAAATTGTAACTCGCCCCTGATATTTTACATAACAATCAGTAGAATACCTTATAATCAAGACAACAGTTTACAAGCTGAAACAACCTTTTTGGAAATTCAATTTTTTAACCATTTCAAAAAGTTGTATAATGATGAAAAGAAAAACAGACTTTTAAATATTAACTTGGTTATAAGATGTTGACAAAATGTAGTAAAACTAAGCAATTGTTGTCATTTCTTAAAGGAACATAAAATTTATAACATCATCCTTGAAATATCAAAGAATATTTAAATCTGACTACTGTTAAAACTTTGCATATACCTATGAATTATTTAACCCAAAATTTACATAATTTTTTTTATATGATTCAATATAAGGCCAAATAAGGCTTGTTTTTTTTTTTTATCCTTTTCATAAAGGGGAAATTGCTACCTCTGACCAACCCATATTAACAATGGATTTCATACTGTTTTTATCTGGATCAATAATTCATAATTATCAAACACAATAATTTTGTTTCCATCAAACCAGGAACATATATATTGACGGGACTTGACACTACCTGATTGTCGTCGATTTAATCGTCGTGCCATAGTTAATAAAGATACGATACAGAAACGGACATGTGTTAAAAACGGACTCGCTATTATCCTAATAATTTCTGATATTATCAATAAAATGTCATTCAAACTAGTTTTATAGTGATGCTAGTGTATCAAACTTGTATTCTGTCACTTCAAATTTGTTAAAATCGCAAGCATTTCATCACAGAATTGTGCAGAATGCAAACAAGGTAATAAAAAAATGGCGGCCATTGCCGCGATGATTTACAAATTCCCAAACTATTATAAAACACTTCACATCAAATAAATAAAACTTATTTTGGTAATTTTATATGACAAAATATATCTACTAAATGATAAAACTTGTATTTATTTACAATTAGAGTTATGTGGTTTATTTGTTGAGCAGTTCTGATAGTTTTTCAGTCAGACGCTACCAAAATCCGTAAATCTCGGGGAGTCCGAGATTTTATCAATTTTATACTGAAAAGCGTATCAGATTCATTTCCCGTTAGATATACTGTTCCCAGATCAAACATGGGAAAATATTGAACTTAAACAAAGAGAAAAGTGCTTATGATTTTGGCCAATAATATTTGAACAAATAATAACTTCGCGGGAATCTTCTCTTCTTCCATAACAGAATTAATCATACATTTTTTTATATACATGTGCAGAGAAGATTTTTCATTCATTCCAAATACTGCTCATTGTTAATTAAATGTTTTAAAATTCATCATCATAATTAGGAATGCCAAAGACTACATTATACCCATTGATTCAAATAGCACAGTTCTTGATATTTAAAAAAAAAGACCTCTTGTAAACAGTTTGTTAAACAGTAATAAAAGTTGAAAAAGACTGTCAGAGTCACTCACAATAATTGCCACTGAGATAGACAGTCATTTATTTGGTTCACTGTGAAATGTAAATAAGTCAGTTTTACATTTTGTTGTTACAATAATCACATATTTAATTAGATTTATTTTTTTCCCCACAAAAGATTTCTTAAACAATGCTTTTTTGTGTGAGAAAAATAGTAGGAATATAACATAATCTGTTCTTACATACAAGGTTCCTTGTACTTTACAATACACTTTAAAAAAAAATAGTGCAGGATGGAACACTTTTGTCAAAGTAAACAGGTTATTAGTTCTGTATAAATGTAAATAGAAACCAAAATATTTCATGTCAAAGAAAAAAAAATCTATATATTAATCATTTCTTTTTTTCCAAATTCCATTTTACTTAATCACATCAGGAAATTACTATAAAACAAACAAAATAGGATCTCAAGAAACACTTAAGCTTACAAAACTATCTTCATAAAGCAACATCTTTATCAAATATAAATAAAATATCAAAATTAAAGGCAAACATGCATTAAGGGACGGTATTTATAAATCTTTTGATCTGATTCATAAACATGATTTCCTTCATTTTCCACGTCTTTTTCCTGCCTGTTTGTACTTGCTGTTGACAAATTCTTTAGTCTTTGGTCCAGGCACCACTGGCTCAAAATCGTCATAGTTGTCAGCATCATTATAATCATCTTCCTGTCTATATTGCTGAACTGGTGTCTTCTTTGAAGAGACCTGGAAAACAAAGCTTCTTTAAAACACGCTTGCATTGATTTGGGATTACATTGCACATGTGTTTTTTTTGGTTTAAGTTTGATTTTCTAAATCCCTTTTGTTTTGTTTTTGTCTTGGTTTATTATATACTAATCACAATCTTGATAATTTAGTAAACAAATAAAAATAAAACAAAAACAAAACAAGTCTTTTCTCCACCAATTTTCGTGGTTTTCGTTGGTATAGAACAACCACAAATTTCAATATTCAATGTAGTACACATTTTCTAAAGTTTATATGCAGACTTTGGCAACACCACCAAATCAAATATCCAAGAAACTACAATTTTTCCTTCATCCAAAATTGGTATCCACATAAATAAATGAATCCACAGTATTATGATAGAAAACAGAGGAAAACCAGGTTATTTGATTTACTTCTATAGGTTGCACTTTGTAAATACAGCTGTTTCTCAAACCACGCCTCTTTTGGGGAGATATAGAATATTCATAGATAATTAATTTTGTTTCCCAGTTATGATCTCTAGGTTTCATCTCATAGAGACATAACTTGGGAATGTTACCAGTAAATATACATATGCATATTGTCTATATAGAAATCTGTGGTAATCCTACAGTCAAGGTGGGGATAGTTAAGAAATTAAGTGTTAGTTTAAACTCTTAGAAGTTCAGGGCATATAAACGTTGAAAATATGCCGCACAGCCCTATATTTTGACCTTTGAAAAAAATTGTAGTGCATATGAACTTTCCATTCTAGGATATGATTTTTTTCAAAACTTTATAGTAAAAGTGGTACAGTTTTAGCCGTAAAAGGAGTTCCTATGGGAAATTGCATTGTCAATATTTACAGAAATGCAACATTTAGGGACAACCATAAAACTATCTAAATGTAAATGAACTCACAAGTATGGTAATTATTGTAAAAGTAATATGCAAATTATATGGCATGGATATGACAAAATATCAATGAAGCATCAACTACTGTTGAGTTTTTATTTTTTCTATAATACTGAATTTCCCCAGTCACCCTTGGTGGAAAAAGAAGAAGAAAAAAAAAGAATGTGTATGATGTCATAAATCTATGTCAGCGAGACAGAAACCAAACAACAAAATGGAAAAATTAGATGAAGCTAAAAAATATTAAATTTACGGAACCTGACAAAATACAATTATTATTATGACTATAAATTTTCTCTATTCTCATTGGCTAAAAACGTAAGGAATTGTCTTTAATAAAACATTATATTCACCATGGGAAAAATCATCAGAGGTTATTAATATGAGAATTGGAACAGCTAACATGTACCTACATTTTTTCCAAAGTCAACGTTAAAATCAAGAAGCAGTTATCTTGAGCAAATACTAGAAAATTGGAAATGGATAAAAAAGTAATATAATAAAATATCATATCTCCTCGGTTGATAAATCATTTTATCATATACTTAGTGTAAATAACTTATAATTTTTACAGTATGATAATAGCATTAAATTTACGTGAATTCCATATTTTTTTAAATTGTGCTTAGCAGGCTGATATGAAAAATTTATCAACTGCTTCCCGCTAATAAGGCATGCCTTTTCGTAACGTTATCGCATGGCATTTCAACATTACTCGGATGTATTACATTTGGCGTTCGTCGTCCGTAAACTTTTCTACTTGAGAACCACTTAAAAGGATCAATATATTAAACTGTTATTTTTCTCCATTGTTGAAGCATATGATAAAAAGATCATAACATGTTATTTTTCATATCAGATGTATTATCAGTCCAAGAGCCAATTATTTCAATTTATTGTTTGGTTGCTATCTCATTAATTATCTCTTTCTATTCATAATACAATCTATTTTTTTTTTAAACAAGCATTCTGAGAGTATTGCATGGCAATACATAGTCCCCTACTGGTTAAGAATTCATTGTAAATAAATAAATAAATAAACAAAGGAAACAGATGGATTCATGACAAAATTGTGTTTTGGTGATGGTGATGTGTTTGTAGATCTTACTTTACTGAACATTCTTGCTGCTTACAATTATCTCTATCTTTAATGAACTTGGCCCAGTAGTTACAGTGGAAAATATTTTGTAAAAATTTACAAAAATTTACAAAATTTATGAAAATTGTAAAAAATTGACTATAAAGGGCAATAACTCCTCAAGGGGTCAACTGACCATTTTGGTCAAGTTGACTTATTTGTAGATCTTACTTTGCTGAACATTATTGCTGTTTACAGTTTATCTCTATCTATAATAATATTCAAGATAATAACCAAAAACGGCAAAATTTCCTTAAAATTACCAATTCAGGGGCAGCAACCCAACATCGGGTTGTCAGATTCATCTGAAAATTTCAGGGCAGATAGATCTTGACCTGATAAACAATTTTACCCCATGTCAGATTTGCTCTAAATGCTTTGGTTTCAGAGATATAAGCCAAAATCTACATTTTACCCCTATGTTCTATTTTTAACCATGGCGGCCATCTTGGTTGGTTGGCCAGGTCACCGGACACATTTTTTAAACTAGATACCCCAATGATGATTGTGGCCAAGTTTGGTTTAATTTGGCCAAGTAGTTTCAGAGGAGAAGATTTTTGTAAAAGTTAATGACGACGATGACGGACGACGGACGCCAAGTGATGAGAAAAGCTCACTTGGCCCTTTGGGCCAGGTGAGCTAAAAATTGAATGAAACTATATGTGAAATATTCAAACTTAACAAGAGTCAGTCAAAATTACAGCAAATTTGACTTTCCTTAATTTACGAAAAGAGGCAGAGGGATACCAAGCAGGATTTAAAAACCAATAGTCAAAGCAAAACAGACACAAGTATGACCAAAACAAAAACACTACTAAGAAACTAAAATTCAGCATCATAAACCCCATCAAAAATCTAAAAAATTGACATTGCTAAAGCAATCAAGGGTCATAACTCCTGAACAAGTCACATAAGTTAAAATTGTCAATATCAAACCTGACCTCCATTTTGTCACCCAAATCAACATATTAAAAATATTAAATGGTTTTCAACTTATCACAAGGAAATTACATAAATAAGCTTTTCATTAAATTAAGGACCATCATCTCATAATGTCAAATCAAAATCAAACGTATGTCATGATGAAAACATATTAAAATTTGAAAAGATTTGTTTGAACAGAAACTGAAAAATTTACAATTTTCCAAGTTATAAAGGGTTATAACTCTAGAACGGTTAATGACATACTGCTAAAATTTAAACTCTCTCTGTGTGTTGTAGTTCTTAGCATTGTGTATGAGTTTCATAAAATTTGAATGAAACAAACTTTAGTTAGAGTGCGAAAACGAAAAAAATAGGAGGAGGGGCATTAAGGCCCCGTTTTGGCCCAAGAAAATAAAATGTTAGACAACTATTTCAAATTAGCATAAAATTTTTGGAAATGCACAGAGTCAAAAAATATAAATGAAACACATAAGAATTTTTATCTGATGACGTCACAATTACATCATGATATGTATCGTTTTCATGAAAACGATGAAAAATACAGAATTTATGTAGTTTTCAATCATTATTTCCATGGCCAAAACATCGTGCACAGCCAAGAAACAACAAAATAATTGAAGAGAAGTTTTATTATAACTATTGACATAATCTCACCAAGTATAAAGTTGTTTCTTAGGTGTGCACATACTTTGCCTATCTAAAGTATACTTAAAATTTGATGAAAAACAAGGAAATTGATTAAATTCTACGAAATATACAAATTTCGTCATGGTCTGTTGCCATGGTAACTCGATAAATGTGAAATTTCTTTTATTTTCTGAATAACTTGTACCTATGTCTAGTAAGAAAAAATTTAAGATTATGTATGATAACTTTGAAATTTGAAGTAATAATTGGACCAAATAAGGGCTTTATTGCTCATACTCCTTTGCAATCTTCCAATTTATAAAGAGGCATATTTCTAGAACGGTAAGTGACTCACTGCCCAAATTGGAACTCTGCCTGCAATTTTTGGTTCTCAGCATTGTGTATGAATTTCATTAAATTTGAATGAGATAAACTTAGAGTGAGGAAACAAAAAAATTGCAATTTTCCAAGTTATAAAGGGGGACTCCTCTAGAACAGTAAGTGACTCACTGCCAAAATTCAAACTCTGTCTGCAAGTTTTGGTTCTGAGCATCATGTATGAGTTTCATAATATTTGGATGAGATAACCTTAAGTTAGAGTGAAGAAATGTAAATGGGACAGACGGTCAAGAGTAACACTTAATGCCCAAATTGCCTACTGCGGGGGCATAAAAAACATATTATAATTTGAAAAGGATTGGTTGAAAAGTTCTGAAGTTATCACACAGAAATATCATTAAGGTGCATTTCCCAATTAATTCCAAAACTCCCAAAGGGCATATTAAAAAAAATAAATGTGGTCATGAGGAACATTTCGCAAAAATTGTGAAGGATTAGATGAACAGTTCTCAAGTTTACACACAAAAATGGTTTGGAGCTGCCCACCTGCCATACTAACAAGAGTGCATACACAGAAATGTCTAGCCTGCTTTACTTATCATGATTGAATTTCATACTATAAACCGAATATAATTAGACTTTTGCTTACAGTATCTGAGAAACAGACCTGAATATGAAAATTGAACATTGACCAATGAACCATAAAATGAGGTCAAGGTCAGATGAACTATGCCAGACAACATGAAAACCATGCAATCATTACATACACCAAATATAGTTCACCTATTGCTAATAGTATCTGAGAAATAGAAATAATTATGAAAACTTAACATTAACTAATTAACCATGAAAATGAGGTCAAGGTCATATAAACCCTGCTAGACAGATATGATCACCTAACAATCATTCCAGAAACCAATTGCAGTTGACAAATTGATAATAGTATCTGATTAACATAAACCATGAAAATTTATCATTGACCATGACAATGATATCAAGGTCAGATGAAAGCTGCAAGACAGACATGTGCATCTTACAATCATTCAATGCATCA